CGTTCGGGCGGTGGAGAGGGGAGAGGGGGAGGCCTTCGGGCGATGGAGAGGGGAGAGAGGCCTGACGCCGAGAGCGTGGAGGAGAGGCGCCGGGCGTGGAGGAAGAGGGGAGGGACTTGAGAGGCGTGGAGAGAGAGGGGAGAGGGGAGGCCTTCGGGCGGTGATGAGAGGCTGCAGGGGAGGAGGAGGCCTTCGGGCGGTGGAGAGGAGAGAGAGGCGCCGAGAGGCGTTGGAGAGAGAGAGGGAGAGCCTTTGGGCGGTGAGGCTGGGGGAGGAGGAGGCCTTGGCGGGCGGTGGAGAGGGAGAGGCCTTGCCGAGGGCGTGGAGGAAGAGAGGGGAGGAGACTTGGGCGCGATGGAGAGGGAAGAGGGGGAGGACTGGCGAGCGTGGAGAGGAGAGGGGGAGGCAACTTAGGGTGGTGGAGGCTGGGGGAGGAGGGAGGCCGCCCGGGCGGTGGAGAGGGAGGCGGAGGCCTTCGAGACGTGGAGGAGAGAGGCCTTTGCGGGCGGCGTGGAGAGAGAGAGGCGCCGGGCGGGGCACAGGCTGGGGGAGAGGCGCGCCGGGTGGTGGAGGGGAGGGGAGGCCTTCCCACATGATGGAGAGGAAGAGAGCCTTCGAGGGCGTGGAGATGGGGAGGCAGCGCTTCCAGGCGGTGAGCTGAGAGGCACCGGGGTGAAGGGGAGGCGAGGCCGTCGGGGCGATGGAGAGAGGAGAGAGAAGCCCCCAGGCAGTGGAGGCTGGGGAGAGGCGCGGACAGTGGAGTGGGGAGAGGAGGCCTTGAGAGGAATCGGTGGAAGAGAAGGAGGAGGAGAGAGACTTCGAGGCGGTGGAGGAAGGGAGGAGGCCTTCGGGGGCGGTGGAGAGAGGGGAGAGGCCTTACGGGCGGTGGAGAGAAGAGAGAGAGCCTTGCCCGGGCGGTGGAGGAGAAGGAGGAGGAGGCTTCGGACGTGGAGAGAGGGAGAGGGGAGCTTCGGGGCGGTGGAGAGAGAGGAGGAGGAGCTTCGCGGTGGAGAGGGGAGGAGGAGGAGCTTGGGCGGTGGAGGGGAGGAGGAGGAGCTTCCGGGCGGTGGAGAGGGGAGAGGAGAGCTTCGGAGGCGGTGGAGGGAGAGGAGGAGGCTTCCGAGGCAGTGGAGAGGGGAGAAGGAGGGGGCTTCGGGCGGTGGAGGGAGAGGGAGGGGAAGACTTCGGGCGGTGGAGAAAGGGGAGGGGGCTTCAGGCGGTGGAGAAAGGAGAGGGCTTCGGGGCGGTGGAGGGGGAGAGAGGGGAGGGGCTTCCCGGGCAGTGGAGAGAGAAGGGAGAGGAGCTTCGGGCAGTGGGGGGAGAGGAGGAGAGGAGGGAGCTTCGGGCGGTGGAGAGAGAGGGAGGAGGAGCTTCCGGGCGGTGGGGAGGGAGAGGAGGAGGGGCTTCCGGGCAGTGGAGAGGAGGGGAGGGGAGGGGAGCTTCGGAGCGTGGAGAGAGAGGGAGAGGGGCTTCGGGCAGTGGAGGGAGAGGGGAGGCCTTCGGGCGGTGGGGGCCTGCAGGGAGGTGAGGTGCTTCGGACTACGTGCGGAACAGAGATCAAGGGCTGGGACGTCCTCGGGCCTCCCTGGAGGGCTTCGGGCGGTGGAGAGGGGAGAGGAGGAGGGCTTCGGGCGGTGGAGGGGGGAGAGGAGGAGGGCTTCGGGCGGTGGAGGGAGGAGGGGGAGGCCTTCGGGCGGTGGGGGCCACGGGGAGGGTGGTCTTCGGACTACGTGCGGGACAGGAGATCAGGGCTGGGACGTCCCTCAGGCCTCCCTCCTTGCCCCAGCCTCGCGGGCCGCCTAACTGCCCCGCTCCAAGGGTGCCACTGGACCCCGCTGGAGAGGAACTTTTCCACTGGCTGGATTTAATCACCCCCCATTCCCGGTTCCACGTTTCCTTTAAGTGGGGCTAGTGGGGCTGACGGGGTCGCAAGGTGGCAAGGAACTGGATTGCGATTGGTTAGCGCATGCCTCGGTCGGCGATACAATTAGCTGAGGCGCTGGGTCCTGGGCAGCATTCCCCGACGGGATTGGCCGCCGCTTTCTCAGAGCCCGCCTTCCGCAGTACAAGTGGTCCCCGGGTCGGGTGGGAGGAGGGGCCTCCGGGACGAAGAACATGGCGGCGGCGGACCTCGCTCACATTCCTGATGTGGACATCGACTCCGACGGCGTCTTCAAGTATGTGCTGATCCGAGTCCACTCGGCTCCGCGCTCCGGCGCTCCGGCTGCGGAGAGCAAGGAGATCGTGCGCGGCTACAAGTGGGCCGAGTACCATGGTGAGGGCGGGGCCTGCCGGCGTGCGAGGGGCGGGGCTGGCGAGGCGGGGGCGGGGCTTGGTGGGACGGTGGCGGCGCTGCGGGCTGCGGACTGCGTTCTGCTCCCAGCCCTGCCCCTGCTACGTTTGAGCCAGGCTCGGGTCCTGGGCGGAAAAGGCGTGACCCGGCCTGACCCCCGTCTCACGACAGTCTCCCAGTCCCCGAGCCCGCCCCGGTTCCACCCTCCTCTCATTCATCCCTGTCCCAGTCTCAAGGGGCTTCGTCTCCTCTGGGGAAGAGGCTGTTCAGACCTGGGATTTTAGACCCCTTCGGCCGGGAGTTCCTCCCGCGGCCTCCAAGGGCGGCCAGGGCACGTCCTGAGGTCGCCCTCCCATCCCAGCGGACATCTACGACAAAGTGTCGGGCGACATGCAGAAGCAGGGCTGTGACTGTGAGTGTCTGGGCGGCGGGCGCATCTCCCACCAGAGCCAGGACAAGAAGATTCACGTGTACGGCTACTCTATGGTGAGCCGCAGCCCCGTCCCGCCCTGCTGGAGGCCCCGGTTCCAGCTTCAGGCCCACCTGAGTCTGCTGCCCTGACCCGTGGCCCCAGATGAGCACGCAGGCTTCCCGGGGTTCTCCCAGGGTGGGCGGCAGAGCCCTCCTTCCAGGGCCAGTTGTGTTCCTGCGTTCCCCCATGGAGCACATGCCAGACCTGAAGGGCGGGAGGGAGACCCCCAGACATGGCCTGCCGTTCCCTCTCCCTGCCCCGGGAGGCCTTGCTGGGCTCTAGCTGTCCTCCAGCACTTTGCGCCCTGGGCCCCCAGAGGCAGTCAGTACCTGGGTGGAGTTCAGAGTCCCCGCCCGTGCTCTTCACAAAAACCACCAGCAGATGAGAGCCACGTGCGTCCCTCTGGGTGCCTCAAGCCCCAGGATCCACCCTCAAGGTTTGCTTGCCTGTGGAGGTCGCCTCTCCCCAGGGGAGCCCCCAAGGGCGGTTGGGATGGTGGGTTTGCCACCCCCAGGCACTGTCCCTTTCCCACACTCGCTTCTGGTGTGGCTGGTGGCTGGATGCCCAGAGCCAGGGCACAGGGTCGAAGGGTCCAGGTGGTGCCAGCAGGCGTCTTCTCTCTCCAGGCCTATGGTCCTGCCCAGCACGCCATTTCAACTGAGAAAATCAAAGCCAAGTACCCCGACTACGAGGTTACCTGGGCTAACGATGGCTACTGAACACTCCCAGCCTGGGGCCTGCTACCTCCAGCAACCATGTCGGAGCCCCCGCCTTTGCCTGCACCCCTTTTGGGGATAGCCCTGCCTGCTTCTGCGGCAGCCCCTGGTGATGTGCCGTCTGCCAGGCTTTGCAGACAGGCTAGCTTGACCACAGAATTAAACGTGTTGCCACACCTCCCAGTCTCTGAACTCTGTCCTTGGCTTCTGCACTGTGCGTCACCACCTCCAGGGCCCCCCAGACCCTAACTAAAGCAGGAAGGTGGGGGAGCACAGGAGTGGCCCCAGGGAATGGCTGTGCACACTCAGCCCTTTGGGGTCTGATAAGGGGGCCCTGGTGACGGCCTGATTGCTCTTCCCACGGTCACTGTCCTCCAGGGCATCTTGGAGTCAGGGCCTGATCCCTCGGGCTGGCCAAGACCTGGGGCACCCACCAGTGCTCCCTCCTGTGAACCCATCCCAGGGCTCCCCAGTGTCCTGTCTGCCCTGAGGCTTGGCCTGCAGGCTCCTTCCATGACTAGCCCCATGGGGCCTGCCAGTATCCAGGGTCAGGTCCCACAGCTGCACCCACCCTGCAGGTTCACATTGACTCTGGGGGCCCCTCCCAGGTCCCTCCTGCACCCGGCAGGGCTGTGGGCACAGCATGGGTTCAGGCCTTGCCCTGGGAAGCCCCAGACACAGTGGCACTCCGTGGGGTGGTGCAGGGGCACCCTGGGGGCCAGGGCTGGTTGTACACAGAGCATCCCCACCTTTGTCAGCTCACTGGTCCTCCGGCCAGCCTCTCCAGACGGGCACTGTCGTGGCCACATTTTACAGACCGGGACACCGAGGCTCAGTGACACAAGCTCCGAGGTCACACCGTGGGAAATCACAGACAGCCTGGCTCCAAATGCCACACTCCTTCCCCAGCCTCAAAGAGCCCTGCCCCAAGTGTGGGTCTGTTTCATGAGGACCAGAAGTTTCTGGGCTCCTAGGGACCCTGTGCCTGGCACCAGATGGCACCTGGATGCTCAGGGTGAATGAATGAGGGGGTGATCCTTCAGAGGCAGGTGCCCCACAGCTGCGAACACAGGGGCCGGCTCTGGTGCACATGCTGGACTGCCGCAGCTACTGGACTGGTTGAGTCCTGACCACCAGGCTAGTGCCAAAGGCACAGTGAGAGGCCACGGCGGCCTCTGCCCACCCCACACTGCCGAGCAGAGTCCTAGTGGGGTGCCTGGCTCCCTCCCCATTCCAGTGGGAACTTCCCCTCCACCAGGTAGGGCAGGGCAGGGTGGAAGGGCCTGACCTTGTGTCTGAGGGAGCCGAGCAGGTGGGAGCTGACCCTGGGTCAGAGGCCCCCTCCTGGGGCCGCTATCCCGGCCTATGCTTGGCACCGTCAGCACTGGGTGGGGCCAGGCCGAGGGGCCCTCCACTTAACAGCAGAGTCAGCTCGTGGGGCCAGTGCAGGCTCATAACCGCACAGAACTTCCCAGGCACCCTGTGTGGCCGCACTGGCCCTGCTTCCTCTGGCCCAACCATGCCTCTGCCCAGCCACCTGCTGCCCGCCCTGGTCCTGTTACTGGGTAAGTCATTTGTCTCACTCCTGAAGCAGGACGAGGGGCTCTGGCTTCTGAGCCTACCATCTGTGTGGCAGTGATGGGCACCAGGGCTGACGCCTGAGCCCCAAAGGGAAGGTGGTTTGCTAGGCACTGCCTTGGCCGGTCTGCAATGGGGGTGACCTGGAATCAGCCCATGGGGTCCTCAGGCCTGCCAAGCAAAGGAAGAGACAAGACTCCCCTCCCAGTCTGGGACAAGAGGGCTCAGGAGGTGCCCCCCAGCTCTGTCAGCCTTTGTCTGCCACCCTTGGACTGGGCAGAGCCTGTGGAAGCCCCTGGGCCACCCATTGGTACCTCCTTGGGGGTCACCCTCCCAGTGCCCAGTTCACTGCTGGGCACACTGGGTTCCTGCTACCTTTCTGGGGGTGCCCATGGCAGGGTGCTCATCCCCACACAGGCCCAGGCCCTCCTCCCCAGCCTCTTCAGGGCTGGAAACAGAAGCGTGCTCTGCTTGGTCCGGAGCCGCGTGGGAGTTCTCTGATGGGTCCTGGTCCCTCCCTGCCCCATCTGCTGGTCTGAGAGGCTTCCCTGGACAAAAGATGTCCAGTGCCAAAACTGAAGAGTCCTAGGCAGGCTGGGATGGCTGATCACTCTGCACCCAGGCCCCCTGGCTGTCACCCTCCCCGCAGCAAGATCCCCAGGCTGGGCCTGGGTCCCCAGCCACTGCAGGAGCCCTGGCCAGGCCGCGTGCAACTTCGTGTGTGACTGCAGGGACTGCTCGGATGAGGCCCAGTGTGGTAAGCCAAGGCCAGATGGGCGGGCAGGGCCAGTGTGAGCAGGTCTGGCGCACACCTGACCACCCACTCTCCCAGGTTACCGTGGGGCCTCGCCCGCCCTGGGCACCCCCTTCACCTGCGACTTCGAGCAGGACTCCTGCGGCTGGCAGGACATTAGCACCTCAGGCTACAGCTGGCTCCGAGACAGGGCGGGGGCCGCACTGGAGGGTCCTGGGCCTCACTCAGACCACACGCTGGGCACCGACCTGGGTAAGGCCAGGGCGAGTCTCTGCGCACCCCTGTCTCAACACCCTCCTTGCTCCCTGCCCTGTCTCCTGACCTCTCACCTGGGCCAGGCTGGTACATGGCCGTCGGAACCCACCGAGGGAAAGAGGCATCCACCGCAGCCCTGCGCTCGCCAACCCTGCGAGAGGCAGCCCCTTCCTGCAAGCTGAGGCTCTGGTACCATGCGGCTTCTGGAGGTGCACCCTGGACCCCCAAGGCTCATGGGGGGTGCCCAAGGGGAGGGCGGGTGGGGACAAGCAGGGCCGCAGCTGCCCTGGGACCCCTGACATTGCAGATGTGGCTGAGCTGCGGCTGGAGGTGACCCATGGCTCAGAGACCCTGACCCTGTGGCAGAGCACAGGGTCCTGGGACCCCGGCTGGCAGGAGTTGGCAGTGACCACAGGCCGCATCCGGGGTGACTTCCGAGTGAGCTGGGAGGGTCTGGACGAGTGGGAGCCTTGGGGGGGTCTGGGCCCTGACTTAGGTCCTGAGGGCCTGTTCTCTTCAGGTGACCTTCTCTGCCACCCGAAATGCCACCCACAGGGGCGCTGTGGCTCTAGACGACCTAGAGTTCTGGGACTGTGGTCTGCCCGGTAAGGCACCGCCTCTTCCTGTTCCACCCCTGGGAGGGCCCCCGCCTGCCCACTCCCCTGCCCAGACCCTGTCTGCCCCCGAGTGCTTTCCCACTCCAGGGGCCTCGGTGAAGGGTTAACCCTGCCCCACCCAGCCCCCCAGGCCAGCTGCCCCCTGGGACACCACCACTGCCAGAACAAGGTCTGCGTGGAGCCCCAGCAGCTGTGCGACGGGGAAGACAACTGCGGGGACCTGTCTGATGAGGACCCACTCACCTGTGGTGAGGCCAGGGTGGGGGCCCAGAGTGAGACAGACTGGACACCTCGGTGGGGGCCCTAGCACTCATCTGGGAAGGGGCACCTTGGATCCTTGGGATGATCCTTCTGGGGGTGTGGTTGCCAGGGCCACCCTGGAGCTGGGGCCAGACGGCTGCAGGAAGCACTGCCTAGTGGCCCTGACAGCCCCACCTCCCGCCCTAGGCCGCCACACAGCCACCGACTTTGAGACAGGCCTGGGCCCATGGAACCGCTCGGAAGGCTGGTCCCGGAACCACAGCGCTGGTGGTCCTGAGCGCCCCTCCTGGCCACGCCGTGACCACAGCCGGAACAGTGCACAGGGTGAGGCCCACAGGGGACCCGGCCCAGGCCCCGTCCACATGGCCACAGCCCAGCGGCTGTGGCCCACTCCCGCCCTTTCCCGCAGGCTCCTTCCTGGTCTCTGTGGCCGAGCCTGGCACCCCTGCTATACTCTCCAGCCCCGAATTCCAAGCCTCAGGCGCCTCCAACTGCTCGGTGAGATGGGTGGGGCTCACAGGGCCTCCATGCTGGCTGCCCAGGTGCAGGGCCCCCAGCCAGCTCTTGGTTCCACAGCTGATCTTCTATCACTATCTGCATGGCTCTGAGGCTGGCTGCCTCCAGCTGTTCCTGCAGACTCTGGGGTCCAGTGCCCCCCAGGCTCCTGTCCTGCTGCGGAGGCGCCGAGGGGAGCTGGGGACTGCGTGGGTCCGAGACCGTGTTGACATCCAGAGCGCCCACCCCTTCCAGGTAGGGAACAGCAAGAGGGTGGGGTCTGGGGAGCCAGGCTGGGGGGCAGGGGAGGGGAACCCACAAGGTACCCACTGTGGGTGGACAGGGACCAGACCCCAGGGGAAAATAGGCTGGGCACCTGCTGAGCCCCTCTGCCCTCAGATCCTCCTGGCCGGGCAGACAGGCCCAGGGGGCGTCGTGGGTCTGGACGACCTCATCCTGTCTGACCACTGCAGACCAGTCCCGGGTGAGCCTGCTGAATCTGCCCTACCCTGCCTTGCCCTGGAGAAGCACAGCACTCCCCATCCCTGCCACCTGACCCAGTTCTGCCCCCACAGAGGTGTCCACCCTGCAGCCACTGCCTCCTGGGCCCTGGGCCCCAGCCCCCCAGCCCCTGCCGCCCAGCTCACGGCTCCAGGATTCCTGCAAGCAGGGGCATCTCGCCTGCGGGGACCTGTGTGTACCCCCGGAACAGCTGTGTGACTTCGAGGAGCAGTGCGCAGGGGGCGAGGATGAGCAGGCCTGCGGTAAAGGGGCTCAGCCTCCTGCAGACCTCCTGCTGAGGAGCCAAGGGGGTAGGTGCCGGGGCGGGCTGAGGACTCTGCCATTTAGTGCCCATTGCTGTTTCAGGCACCACAGACTTTGAGTCCCTGGAGGCCGGGGGCTGGGAGGACGCCAGCGTGGGGCGGCTGCAGTGGCGACGTCTCTCAGCCCAGGAGAGCCAGGGGTCCAGTGCAGCTGCTGCTGGTGAGGCCCAAGGCCCAACGCTCAAGCCCCCACCCGGGTGTGAGCAGCATCCTCGGAGGGGTCTCTGCTCTGTCTCTGCACTACAGACGGTCTCTAGATTGGGGATCCCTGAGGGACAGAGTGGGGCCCTGGACGAGGCTTTGAGCACCTTGCTCTTCCCCCAGGGCACTTCCTGTCTCTGCAGAGGGCCTGGGGGCAGCTGAGCACGGAGGCCCGGGTCCTTACACCCCTCCTTGGCCCTTCTGGCCCCAGCTGTGAACTCCACCTGGCTTACTACTTACAGAGCCAGCCCCGAGGTACCGCCGCCCTCCACAAGCTCCCTGGCCAGGCCCTGGGCGCTCCCTGCACGGTGGGAGGGATGTGGGGTCGGGTGACCCACAGCACCCCCCGCCCCGCTGGCCAGGTTTCCTGGCACTAGTTGTGGTAGACAACGGCTCCCGGGAGCTGGCATGGCAGGCCCTGAGCAGCAGTGCAGGTGGCTGGAAGGTGGACAAGGTCATTCTAGGGGCCCGCCGCCGGCCCTTCCAGGTGAGGAGGGCAGCCCAGAGTGGGGGTTCCACTGGAGCAGGCCCTGACTTCATGGTCCTCCTCATCCCCCTACCCCATGAAGCTGGAGTTTGTCGGTTTGGTGGACTTGGACGGCCCTGACCAGCAGGGAGCTGGGGTGGACAACGTGACCCTGAGGGACTGTAGCCCCACAGTGACCACCGAGAGAGACAGAGGTTCCTGCTGCCCATCCTCATTCCCACCTGGGTGCTCCCCCCACACCCCTCCAGGGACCCCGGAGCTTCCATCTTCTCAGGGCTCTGGAGGGGGAGGGGGAAAGGTCTGTGACCCCACCTGGCCCCACCCCCAGAGGTCTCCTGTAACTTTGAGCGGGACACATGCAGCTGGTACCCAGGCCACCTCTCAGACACACACTGGCGCCGGGTGGAGAGCCGTGGCCCTGACCACGACCACACCACAGGCCAAGGTAGGACGGGCACTCAGACCAGGGGTGGCTTTCAGACAGGAGTGGAGCATCTCTGCAGCTCAGCCCCATGCTCCTACAGGCCACTTTGTACTCCTGGACCCCACAGACCCCCTGGTCTGGGGCCACAGCGCCCACCTGCTCTCCAGGCCCCAGGTGCCAGCAGCGCCTATGGAGTGTCTAAGCTTCTGGTACTACCTCCATGGACCCCAGATTGGTGAGTGGACCTGGGAGTGGGGCAGGGCCTGTGGGGAGGCCCCCGGAGGTTCAGAGCCCCCCTCTGACACCCATCAAGGCACAGGGGAGAGGTCAGTTATGGACTGGTTCCCTCCCTGCAGGGACTCTGCGCCTGGCCATGAGACAGGAAGGGGAGGACACACACCTGTGGTCACGGTCGGGCACCCAGGGCAACCGCTGGCATGAGGCCTGGGCCACCCTTTCCCACCAGCCTGGCTCCCGTGCCCAGTACCAGGTGAGGCCTGGCGCCCGGGTGGGAGGACAGGGCAGGACCCCCCGCCAGCTGACACCCTCCACCCCCAGCTGCTGTTCGAGGGCCTCCGGGACGGATACCACGGCACCATGGCGCTAGACGACGTGGCCATGCGGCCAGGCCCCTGCTGGGCCCCTCATCACTGCTCCTTTGAGGATTCGGACTGCGGCTTCTCCTCGGGAGGCTGGGGTCTCTGGAGGCGCCAGGCCAATGCCTCGGGCCACACAGCCTGGGGCCCCCCAACAGACCACACCACTGAGACAGCCCAAGGTATGGGGGCCTGGCAGGGGCAGGGATTGGGGGGCTGGCCAGGGGCTGGCAGGCTGATGCTGGCACCTCCAGGGCACTACATGGTGGTGGACACCAGCCCAGACGCACTGCCCAGGGGCCAGACGGCCTCCCTGACCTCCAAGGAGTATAGGCCCCCAGCCCAGCCTGCTTGCCTGACCTTCTGGTACCACGGGAGCCTCCACAACCCAGGTGAGGGGCTTAGGGAGGGGAACCCAGTGGGCTCAGGGAAGCTTGGCCTGGTGTCCCCACTAGCCTTGTGCTGAGGCCACTGGGAGCCTCTTGCGCCCACCAGGCCGGGAGCCTGGGAGCTCAGTCCGGGGCCTGCAGGCGCTCTCCCCACACTGCTGACCAGGGCGCCCCTGCTGGCAGGCACCCTGCGGGTCCACCTGGAGAAGGGCGGGAAGCACCAGGTGCTCAGCCTCAGTGCCCATGGTGGGCTGGCCTGGCGCCTAGGCAGCGTGGATGTGCAGGCCGAGCGAGCCTGGAGGGTGAGTGCAGGGTAGGGTGCCTCTCCCCCTCCCCCTGAGGGCTGCCTGGACCCACTGAGGCTGCCCTGCCGTGCACCCACCAGGTGGTGTTTGAGGCAGTGGCCGCAGGCGTGGCACACTCCTACGTGGCTCTGGATGACCTGCTCCTCCAGGATGGGCCCTGCCCTCGGCCAGGTGGGAGCCCTGCTGTGGCCTCGGCCCTGCTCTGGGGCCGCTGCCTAGCCCTCTCCCTTGGTGGTGGTGGTGCCTAGGGCTTGGGCCGTGGCACCACTCACCCACCCATGTCCTGCAGGTTCCTGTGATTTTGAGTCTGGCCTGTGCGGCTGGAGCCACCTGGCCTGGCCCAGCCTGGGCGGATACAGCTGGGACTGGGGCGGGGGAGCCACTCCCTCTCGTTACCCCCAGCCCCCTGTGGACCACACCCTGGGCACAGAGGCAGGTATGTGCCACTGGAGCCAGGTGGGGAGGCGACCCAGAGGCCACACAGAGCCACCTGGCCTCCTGCTGCCCACCGAGTACACGCCCCATCCAGAGGAGGCCCTGCCCACCCAGCCTCTGCTAGGGCCCTGAGGGCTGGCTCTGCCCATCAGCTGGGCGTCAACCTCCTCTTGTTCCCAGGCCACTTTGCTTTCTTTGAAACTGGCGTGCTGGGCCCCGGGGGCCGGGCCGCCTGGCTGCGCAGCGAGCCTCTGCCGGCCACCCCGGCCTCCTGCCTCCGCTTCTGGTACCACGTGGGCTTTCCCGAGCACTTCTGTGAGTCCGGCTGGGCCAGCGGGGGCCTGGGCAATGGGGACAGCAGGGGTCCAGGAGCAGAGGTGGGGAGGTGGCCTCCCACCCCGCCCCTGGTTAGGTGTGCAGGAGTCCCGGGACCCCAGGCCTGACACGCCCTGGCCCTGCTCTCAGACAAGGGGGAGCTGAGGGTGCTGCTGCGCAGTGCCCAGGGCGAGCTGGCCGTGTGGGGCACAGGCGGGCACCGGCGGCACCAGTGGCTGGAGGCCCAGGTGGAGGTGGCCAGCACCAATGAGTTCCAGGTGAGGCCGGCTGTCCGGGCCAGGAGCCGCCTCCTCCTCCACCCAGGGCCCACACAGACTCCTGTCCTTCCCCATCAGGTTGTGTTTGAAGCCACTCTGGGCGGCCAGCCAGCCCTGGGGCCCATTGCCCTGGACGACGTGGAGTATCTGGCTGGGCAGCGTTGCCAGCAGCCTGCCCCCAGCCCGGGTGAGCCCTGGGCTGCAGTGGAGGCACGGAAGAGGGCCCAGGGGGCCAGCCCAGCTCAGGGCTTGCCAGGCTTACCAGCGTGTGGCCCCAGCAGCTGCGAGCATGCTGCACCCAGACAGGACAGGAGAGCTGCCAGGCCCACACCCTGTGCCCTCCCCACTCTCTGCCCCGCTCATCCCTGGGGCCACTGCCCGAGCTGGGCTGTCCCTGGGGTGCAGCCTCTGGGGCCTGCCCTGCCTGGCTGTGGCCTCTGTGCTCCCTGTGCCCACACCCATAGCAAGGTCCATCCTGGAGGAGCTGCCAGCCGGGTCAGGGCAACCACTGACTGCTCTCACTTGGTGAGGGAAAGGATCTCACCTGGGGCCATGAGCCCCACCAAGTCTGCAGACAGCAGCTGCCTGCCTGCCAGGCCCCATCCTTGCGGTGGCAGAACAAATACCCTCTGCCTTTGAAATAGGGGTGAACCCCAGGAGCCAGCAGAGGCTGAGGGGACCAGGCAGCCCTAGGCTTCCTCCTCAGCCTCAGATGTAGGGGCTACACCCGGACACCAGAACTGGGGGCTGCTTTGGAGGGCTCACGTGTCCCTATGGCCCACAGGGGACACAGCCGCACCTGTGTCTGTGCCAACTGCAGTTGGCAGTGCCCTCCTATTGCTCATGCTCCTGGTGCTGCTGGGACTTGGGGGACGGTGCTGGCTACAGAAGAGGGAGAGCTGCCCCTTCCAGAGCAACACAGAGGCCACAGCCCCCGGCTTTGACAACATCCTTTTCAATGCGGTAGGAGCCCCCGGGGATGGGTGGGCAGGAGCCTCTGTGCTCAGCTGTGACCCTGGAAGGTAGGCACTGGCAGGACACAACCCCCCAGGGAGGAGCCCCCACCTGTGCAAGGCCCATCCTTGCCCTCCCTCTCCCAGCCACCACTGTCAAAGCTCCTCCTCCTTAGCCGGGCGGGGTGGCTCACACCTGTAATTCCAGCACTTTGGGAGGTCGAGGCAGGTGGATCTCCTGAGGTCACGAGTCTGAGACCAGCCTGCCCAACATGGTGAAACCTCTTCTCTACTAAAAATACAAAAAATTAGCTGGGTGTGGTGGCAGGTGCCTATAATCCCAGCTACTCAGGAGGCAGGGGTTGCAGTCAGTGAGCCGAGATCATGCCATTGCACTCCATCTTGGGTGACAAGAGCGAAACTCCGTCTCGGGAAAGAAAGAAAACAAACACTCCTCTTCCTCCTTCTAGGATGGTGTCACCCTCCCGGCATCTGTCACCAGCGATCCGTAGACCACCTCAGACAAGGCCCCGCTTCCTCATGTAACATCCAGCACTTGGTCAGACCCTAGCCGGGGACCGGACACCTGCCCCGCCCAGGCTGGGGCAGGCTGCAGGTCTCAGGACATGCAAGGGCCTGGGCGTTCCCTGCCCTGTGCTGACTGTTGTTCTGTGAATAAACACCCCGGCCCATGAGGGCGGCCCAAGCTCCCAGGCTGAAGTCAGTGCGTCCACACTTCACCAGCCAGTGAGGGTGGGGGCTGCAGTGTTAAGTGACATGATAGGAGAACATGCTAGGGGCACCTGCTTGCTTCTGGATGCAGCTCAGGAACCAGAGACAAGGGGACCCTCTCCCACAAGGACACGGACCCACCAGGACAAGGGCCAGGGCAGGGGCTCTGTGTCTATTGAGGACAACAGTGAAACTGACCCACAGCATCAGGAGCATGCAAAGGAGATGACCCTTAGGGGACAGGGTGCACGGGGCAGGCCCGGAGGGAAGTGGTGCCTCAGCTGGGCCCACTGTCTGTGGTACAGGCCTGAGCTGCCCTAGGAACTGTGGGTCACAGTGCCCAGGTCACCAGGTGCCCCAGGGCTGCAGCTGAGCCCTTCCCTTTGGCCCCCATGCCTGAGCAGGAGGGTGACCCCGTGAAGCTGTGACCTGGCCTGGGGCACAAGCAGAGGACTCCCGTCCTAACACAGGGTCAACGTCACTAACCTCAGCCCCCAGAGCTCTCGTCCTCCACGTGGGTGACTCAGGCACAACCCCATGGTGAGGGCCCAGTCTTGTGGCCTCTGAGGCCTGGCTGTGGGTGGCTATCCCCAGGGAGGGTGGCAATACCCAGACCTGAGCAGCCAAGCCCCCTCCTGCCCATAGGAAAGCCCTACCCTGCCTCATGAACTCACATCTGCCCCCAGGAGCCATACGGTGCTGGAGGGCACAGCACAGCACCCTCGCCAGCCACCGGGCTCCTGTCCGCCCTGGGGACTAAGTCCCAGCAGAGGGCGGTGATCAGGCATGGCTAGCGCCGTCCCTCGTCTTCAGGTGCTGTGGGGCTGACCAGTGCCCGCTGTCCACACAGATGGGCGAAAGGAAATGGCCCTGCAGAGAGACCTTCAGAGCCCCCTGGCAGCCCACTCCCGGGCATCAGTCATGAAAATTCACTGGCCTTTCCCACAATTAGGGGCCTGGGAGCTGAGAGCAGGACCGAATAATCTGGCCCCGGCGCCAAAGGCAGGAAATTTTCCCAGCTTCTCTTTAGAGCTACATCAGAGAAAGCAGCTCCCAGTGACACCGCTCCTCTTCCTGCCGTGCCTCTGGCCTCCACCCCTCACCCTTATATAAGGTGGTGCTCACAGCTCCCTGAGGCCTCTGAGCTACAACTGCTACTGGGCAGACATCCCTAGAACAGGAAGGCGGAGTTCTGCACCCTGATCTGAGGAACGCGACGTAGGGAGAAAAACAGTCAGCAGAACCCAACGCTTTGCAAGGTTTTGTTTGTTTGACAGCAGGAATGGGCTGGGGAGGGTCCCCCACAAGCTGGACCCCTTGTTCCATTTGGCCGTGAGGAGACCCACGGCGGTGCTGGCGGCCAAGGGGAACCGGCAGAATGAGATCAGCTGGAGCGCACTGATTTCGAGGCTTTGTGTTCATTTCGCCCTAGGCCCCTTCTCGATGGGCTTTCCAATGTCCTTTCCCCGGAGCTTGAGGCCTGAAATGAGCCACAGCCACTGGCCACTGCAGCGCCAGCTCCCTCCTGCCCCCCACGCTGCCCCTCTTCAACATCTTCCCAGGGAAGGAGGGCCACGCCGCTCCCATTCCTCACTGGGCTCTCAACACACAAGCACTCCTGGACCTCACATCTAATTTTGAAAAGGATGAGTCTGATCATCTTAGACAGCAGAGCATGAATACCCCTCTCCAGAAGAACAGGAGCCAGGGTCCTCTGCGGAACTGGCTTCCGGCCCCGTGCTGATAGGGCCTGGACCGCTGTGCTCAGGCTCAGAGAACCACAGCCAACAGCACGGGCTGACGGGAACTGGCAAGGGGAAGGGAGTGGGATTCCACTGCTCTTGGGGGTTTCCTGAGGCCTGCAGAGCCCCCACCATCCCTCAGTCTCTATTGCCTGGAGAAGCAAAGCTCCAGAATTCAGACAACAGGGGACCCTCAGGGCCATCTTCGTCTCCCAAGTCCCACTCTCACCAACCCCAGACAGGAGTGGTGGCCTCCCTGTCCAGCGGACCCGGCGAAGGTGGAGGGACACTCACCGATGGCCCGCTCGATTTTGCCCAGCACCTGGTTATTGGGTATGGCCCGTCCGCTCTCATAGTCCGCGATCACCTGTGGCTTCTCATTGATTTTCTAAAGAGAACATGTGCTTTATACACATCAGCTCCATTAGCACTGCTGCGAAACCAGGCGTGGAGCGTCGCCTGAGAACACCAGCTTCTGGGGCCCCTGGGGTACGCACCCACACGCAGCTGCGTTTTGTGCAAGAGGCAGTGAGAGCCGGGCTGACCTGGCTTCCCGAGGCATTCCCTGCAAGGGCACCAGGGGGGTGGAGCCTGCCCTCCCCGTGCTATCTGAACACCTGTCACCCCCCTCCCCAAGCCCACAACCCCAGGAGGAGAGAGAGCCGGCGCAGCCTCACCGTGGCCAGGTCCTTCTGCGTAAGCCCCTTGCTCTGCCGACCTTGCTGGATCACCTTGCCCACCTCCAAGGTCACCCTGTCATGGTGCAGCTCCTCCGTCTCCCGGTCCAGCTTGGCTGTGTTCTTGGTGATAGAATGTTGTTTGTTCTGGCCAGCAGCCCCTGGAATCGGTGTGAGGCAAAAGCAGAGGAGAGGGTTTGGAATTAACCTCTCCTCAGACAAAAAACCATTTCAGAGTGGTAACCAGACCCCAGAGGCTGCCTGGGCCCAAGGGGACATGGGAACCCAGGCTGTCCCAGGTTCACACACCTCAGGGCATGGACTTCCAGAGTTTTCTCTCAGTTATGGGGACAGACAGCTGCACTCATGCCAACCAGGGCTGCTCTGGGAAGATGGCTGCCTCCCAGGGCTCCGGCCAGCACCGGTGCAGGCAGGCACTCAGCTGACAACGTCCCTGTGGGCACCGTCCACACCACATCCACCAGCACATGGACCTACAGCACAGCCTCATTTTGCAAGTGGAAACACAAGTACCTACATTTCTTGGAAGTCTCCACATCTTCTCCTCGTCTCTGTGCTGCTAAGATAGCCTAGAAAATTAGAAAACATCAGTAGATCAAAAGTAGCTTTGGCAGTGTCCAGCACACACCAATTCAGGCCTGCTGTTAGCCAGTTAGCACACTGCTAAGGACTAGTGGTGCCCAATGACTGATATGCAGTGCTGGGTTCAATTACCCAAGCTCAACTAGGTACTGCGGCTCATGTCTGTAATCCCAGCACTTTGGGAAACCAAAGTAGCAGAATCACCTGAGGCCACGAGTTTGAGACCAGCGTGGGCAACACAGCGAGATACTGTCTCTACAAAAAAATAAAATAAAATGGCCGGGCGTGGTGACTCAAGCCTGTAATCCCAGCACTTTGGGAGGCCGAGACGGGCAGATCATGAGGTCAGGAGATCGAGACCATCCTGGCTAACATGGTGAAACCCCGTCTCTACTAAAAAATACAAAACACTAGCCGGGCGCGGTGGCAGGCGCCTGTAGTCCCAGCTACTCGGGGGGCTGAGGCAGAAGAATGGCGGGAACCCGGGAGGCGGAGCTTGCAGTGAGCTGAGATCCGGCGGGAAACCCGGGAGGCGGAGCTGCAGTGAGCTGAGATCCCGCCACTGCACTCCAGCCTGGGCGATAGAGCAAGACTCTGTCTCAAAATAAATAAATAAATAAATAAATAAAAACTAGCTTGGCATGGTGGAGTACACCTGTGGTCCCAGCTACTTGGGACGCTGAGGCAGGAGAATGGCGGGAACCCGGGAGGCGGAGCTTGCAGTGAGCTGAGATCCCGCCACTGCACTCCAGCCTGAGTGACAGAGCGAGACTCCGTCTCAAACAAAAAATAAAAAATAAAAATAAAAATAAAATAAAATAGGCCGGGCGCGGTGGCTCAAGCCTGTAATCCCAGCACTTTGGGAGGCCGAGACGGGTGGATCACGAGGTCAGGAGATCAAGACCATCCTGGCTAACCCGGTGAAACCCCGTCTCTACTAAAAAATACAAAAATCTAGCCGGGCGTGGTGGCGGGCGCCTGTAGTCCCAGCTACTCGGGAGTCTTGAGGCAGGAGAATGGCGTGAACCCGGGAGGCGGAGCTTGCAGTGAGCTGAGATCCGGCCACTGCACTCCAGCCTGGGCGACAGAGCGAGACTCCGCCTCAAAAAAAAAAAAAAATAAATAAATAAATAAATAAATAAAATAAAATAAAAAATTGTCAGACATTGTAGTGCATGCTTGTAGAGGGAGGCTAGGGCAAGAGGATCACTTGAGCCCAGGAGTTTGAGGGTGTGGTGGGCTATGATAATGCCACTGCACTCCAGCCTGGGCAACAGAATGAGACACTGTCTAAAAAATCAAAACACAACAAAACCCCAAACTCGTTATACAAAAGCCTCTACAATCAGATGTCTAAGAAATTCACAATAAACTGCTAAGAGAACACCACTTCCTTTGCTGTTGAGAAAGACACACTAGGGATTTTTTTTTTTTTTTTTTTTTTAAAGAGTTGAGGTCTTGCTATGTTGCCCAGGCTGGTCTGGAACTCCTGGGCTCAGCCTCCCTCCTGAATAGCTAGTATGTGCTAGTGGATTCTTTTTGAGAAATCATATTTAGCACAGATTTACTTCTCTGCTGGACTCTACTGCAAAAGTAGGAAGGAACACCAAATGCTGGCCTGGTGAGGCCTTCCTCCCTGAATCTGGCTCCTAGTAACACAAAGATGACACATCTCATGGAAGCCTGCAGGCTCCCCAGAAACATCACCAATTACAGTGATGCTATCTCATCTACAGTCGCTGAATATTAATACAATGGATTTCTTGACTTTTTTTTTTTTTTTTTTAGACAGTCTCACTCTTTTGCCCAGGCTGAAATGCAGTGGCACAATCTCAGCTCACTGCAACCTTCGCACTCCAAGTTGAAGCGATTCTCCTGCCTCAGCCTCCCCAGTAGCTAGGATTACAGGCACCTGCCACCACGCTTGGCTAATTTTGCGTATTTTTAGTAGAGATGGGGTTTCACCATCTTGGCCAGGCTGGTCTTGAACTCCTGACCTCATGATCCACCCACCTTGGCCTCCCAGAGTGCTGGGATTACAGGTTTCAGCCACTGTGCCTGGCTAACATTTCTACCACTTCAGAGAAGTGACTTGTGGAGCATCCTAAGTGTAACGTACTCACAGATACTGCCACACAATTATTCCCGTGACTCCTAGCTTGTGGCTATTAACTTTCCTTAAAAAAAAAGGAGAGTTAATTTGGTTTTGACCGTACAACCAGCAAGGGCAGGGCAGACCAATGAATCCCTGTCACCAGAGCCCCAGCACATCCTGGCCCAACTAGCCTCAAAGGCTTCAGCCCTAGGCCACCTGAGAGTACGAATGAGGCAGAGGTGGTGACTAAACTGTCCTCCCTATTACATCAGACTCACAACTGACCCTCGGAAACATCAGCCACACTGGTAATCTCCTTCCACAAGTACTGCTCAGGGCACGCCCATCTTCCACCCGTGCAACAGGGGGAGGCAGGGTCCACCTGCTCATGGGGTTCCCTGATGCAGGCACTCCCTACAGCCTTTGATGGACCCAGGTAGGCTCCTTGGGCAGTATCTGACCAGTGGAGACCAGTATAACCAAGCAGGCCCCAAGCAAAGAGAAAAGTCTCAAGGAGGAGCCTACCCCCTGTCCCCAACTCCCACTCAGGTCACTAACCTCTGTCCCAGTCACCCGGTCTCCCGCCCCAGGCCCTCAACTGCTGTCCACTGGCCCGCAGCCCTATCCCAACCCCAATTCCCCACCCTCATCGCTGGTTCCTGCTGCTTGCCCCAGTCCCCACCCCTGTCCTAAGCCCTGTCCCCGACTCTAGTCCCTGTCCTCCCAAACCCTGTCCCCAACTCCATCCCTGCCCCCGTTCCCAGTGCCCACTCTGGTCCTCTGTCCCCTATCCTCACACAAGGCCCCAGCCTTGTCCCCGCCCCCGTCCCCACCTCCTGCCTCTGTCCTCACACCTGTCCCCACCAACAGTCCCTGCCCCTATCCCCTTCCCGCCCCACCCTGGCACTGATCCTGGCCCTATCGCCTGCCCCTTGCCCCGTCCCGTTCCCTGCTCCTCTCCTCCCGCAGTCGCCCGCCCCCTGCCTCCCGGGTCCGTCCATCCCCACCTGGGTCCGTCCATCCCCACCTGGGTCCGCCCCCTACCTTCCCTCCCTGTTCTGGCCCGGTCCTCCTACCACTGCGATGCTCCCCGCCCCTCGAACCCCATCCTCCCGCCGGCACCCCAGCCTTGTCCCCGTCCCCCGCGCCCCATCCTGGGCCCCGCCTGGCCTTCCCCAAGCCCCCTGCCCCACGGTCCGTGGCCCCGGCCCAGCGTCCGCCCCGCCCGGCCCGGCCGCTCCTCCGTCAGCAAAGCACCTGCTTGGACTTGGCCTGGGCGGCCGTAGGGCCCTTCTTGCGCAGCACCGTCACCGTGTCCCAGTCGCTCTCGGCCATGGCGGGCGAAGGCGGGCGTCAGTCCGGCGGCTCAGCGGCAGCTGCTAGAGACCCAGCGCGACGACGCGACGTCCCTTCGGCACCTCCCCGCTTCCGGCGTCCCATTGGCTGGCGGCACGCGGGGGGCGGGCACTTCCCGTGCTCGGGGCCATTCGGCGTTCGGCTCGTCTGAGGGACGCCGCGGCCGACATGGGGAGGGCAACGTTGGGGCCTGGCCTGGTGAGGCGCTGCGGCCGCTGGGGGCGCAGGTCGGGAGGACCCCTGAACCCGGGCCCCGCGGCCTCCCAGCACACGCGGGCAGCGGCTGCGCCTCCCCGGGCCCCACACCCCGGCCGGGCCACGCGGGCGGAGGGGGCGCGGGGTCTCCGCTCACGCCGCGCGGCCGCCCCCCTTTGTTTTGCCGCCTGCGCGGCTGGGACGTGCGCTCGAGGACTAGAGCTGTGGGGCCCGAAACGCAGCGTGGGGTGGGATTCTTTTTAAGAAAAAGAATGGAGGCCGGGCGCGGTGGTTCACGCCTGCAGTCCCAACACTTTGGGAGGCCGAGGCGGGAGGATCACCTGAGGTCGAGAGTTCGAGACCAGCCTGACCAACATGGAGAAACCCCGTTTCTACTAAAAATACAAAATTAGCTGGGCGGGGTGGCGCATGCCTGTACTCCCAGCTACTCGGGAGGCTGAGGCAGGAGAATCGGTTGAACCCGGGAGGCAGAGGTTGCGATGGGGCGAGATCACGCTATTGCACTCAACCTGGGCAAGAAGAATGAAACTGCATTTCAAAAAAAAGAATGGAAAACTATGAAAACATGGGTGGCAAAAATGAATGGTTTTGCATATGTTTATTTTCTGTAATGTATAAAGTGTATATGTTGCACGACAATAATTATGTAATACCCTATTTTACAGCTATTTTACAGTTGTTTTGTATAATGAGAAAGGTCGTTATACATTATTATTGAATAAGTTTTTTAGGATTTTTTTTTTTTTAGACGGTCTCGCTCTGTTGGCCAGGCTGGAGTGCAGTGGCGCCAAGATCCGCCTCCCGGGTTCACGCCATTCTCCTGCCTCAGCCTCCCGAGTAGCTGGGACTACAGGTGCCCGCCACCACGCCCAGCTAATTTTTTTTTTGTATATTTTTAGTAGAGACGGGGTTTCACCGTGTTAGCAAGGATGGTCTGGATCTCCTGACCTCGTGATCCGCCCGCCTCGGCCTCCCAAAGTGCTGGGATTATAGGCGTGAGCCACCGCGCCTGACCAAGATTTTTATTTTTATGGACGGGGTCTCACTCTGTGGCCCACACTGGAGCACTGCTGCGCCCACTGCAGCCTCAACGTCCTGGGGTCAAGTGATGAGACTACAGGCGCAGCCCCCGCGCCTGGCTAATTTTTGTATTTTGTAGGGTAGAGGTGGGGTCCCCATGCTGCCCTGGCTTGTTGGTCTGGAACTCCTGAGCTCGTGTGATCCTCCTGCCTCAGCCTCCCAAAGTCTGGGATTACAGGCTCGAGCCACCGCTGGCCCTAATCATTGTATTGACTTCTGGGCTTTGAATGGATGAGCTTCCTGTAGCACTGCTGCAGCTTATGCTCCACAAACAAGGATCCTGATAAATGCAGTCTCCATTCAAAAAGAAGACATACATAAATGCTGTCTTAAATTGGAAATGCTGCATTACCAAATGCACTCCACAGAGGAGACAACAGTAATTCTAACCAGGCAGTGGGAAGTTGAGTCTTCTGCTTACCGTTTTTCACACTGGATGACTGGAAGAGTCTTGCGAACCCACTGATGGCTCCGTGCATACAAACCTTGCTTCTCTGCTTCCCGCCAACTTCCAGCACCAAGCTCCATTTAGCTAAGGACTCAACAGCCTCAGACGCCAAGCAAGGATGTGACTCAACTGAATGAAAATATCCCTTGTGGCCGGGTGCGGTGGCTCACGCCTGTAATCCCACCCAGCACTTTGGGAGGCTGAGGCAGATGGATCACGAGGTCAAGAGATCAAGATCATCCTGGCCAACACAGTGAAACCCTGTCTCTATTAAAAATACAAAAATTAGCTGGGTATGGTGGTGCGTGCCTGTAATCCTAGCTACTCGGGAGGCCAAGGCAGGAGAATTGCTTGAACCTGGAGGTGGAGGTTGCAGTGAGCCGAGACTGCGCCACTGCACTCCAGCCTAGGGACAGAGCAAGACTCAGTGCACTGTCTCTAAAAAAAGAAAGAAAGAAAAAGAAAATATCCCATAAACCCTGACTGGATGTATCTCCGCTCAAATCCCCCTTCGTTGTGTGCCAAAAATGCTTATAGTCACCCCAGTGCCACCAGCCCCCAGGAAGAGTGTGGTGAAGGCGGAGTTGGCCTGGAAAGAGGCAGCCTTGTTAACACTGCAGTTCAGTCCTCCTATGTGACAAACTTAGCCAACACCTGACCTCGTGAATGCGTTGGGAGGCCCTTCTCAGAGCCTCGGAGACCCATGCAGGTGGGGCTGAGCTAGCTCCATAGTGAGCCTGGGCTGAGAGATAGGGGACAGCTACATCTAGCTGTCCTCTGCAGGTGTCCACTAGGACAGCCGTTGTCCCATCGGGCCCTCCATCAGGAGTCCAGGCCTGATGCCACAAGTCATTGTGCCCTGTCCTTGGCACTCCCTGCACCAAGGCACGATGGATACAGGTGTCTGTGTGAGGCTGTCCTCACTGCCCACTCCGTCCCACCCTGGGGTCATTTGTACGCACTCCCTCCTATTCTGGGATTCTTCCAACTTAGGGCCCAGAGGAAAGCGGCTGGTATGGAGAAGCAGCTTTGGGAGGCCTGGCGAGCCTCTCATACCTCACTGGAGATGTCACACCACTGTCTGTCTACCAGTTATCCATTTAGCTTCGTGCATGGAGAAAAGACAATTCCAAAGCCTTCTGGAGAAAAAAAAGTCTCTTCATTTCCATCTGTAGATCTTAGTTAGTGTCTCTCTGGCATAATTTTCCTCCAGCCTTTCTTAGGTCCTTTTAGTACCATCTGCTGTAGTTTCGTCTTTCATTTAACTGCAGATGTCTCTATTTTGCCCTTGTGTTTGAAGGATACGCTATTGTATAAACGTCATCCCATTGTCTTCCATCATTGCCAATGAGAATCAGTAATCAGTCATTTGTGTCCTGGTTCCCCAGCAGGTTGTGACAATGTGACATGTCCTCTGGCTCTTTCAAGACTATCCCTTTGTCTTCAGTTTTCTTTTTCTTTTCTTTCTTTTTTTTTTTTTTTTTGGAGACTGGGCCTCACTCTGTTGCCCAGGCTGGAGTACAAGGCACAATCATGGCTCACTGCAGCCTCAACCTCCTGGGCTCAAGTGATCCTCCCACCTCAGCCTCCCAAAATACTGGAATTACAGGCACGTTCCGACACCCGCAGCCCGATCTTCAGTTTTCTTAGCATGTGCGCAAGCATATTTTCCTTTGTATTTACCTTGCTTGGGTTCACTGAGCTGCTTTTTTATTTTTATTTTTTGAGATGGAATCTTGCTCTGTCACCCAGGCTGGAGTGCAGTGGTGCGATCTCGGCTCACTACAACCTCCGCCTTGTGTGTTCATGCCCAGCTTTTTTTTTTTTTTTTTTTGGGTTCAATTGAGCTGCTTTTTTATTTTTATTTTTGAGATGGAATCTTGCTCTGTCACCCAGGCTGGAGTGCAGAAAGTATCTCGGCTCACTACAACCTCCGCCTTGTGTGTTCATGCCCAGCTTTTTTTTTTTTTTTTGAGATGGAGTCTCACCGTGCTGCCCAGGCTGGAGTTCAGTGGCCGGATCTCAGCTCACTGCAAGCTCCGCCTCCCGGGTTTACGCCATTCTCCTGCCTCAGCCTCCCAGTAGCTGGGACTACAGGCGCCACCACCTGCTCTCGGCTAGTTTTTGTATTTTAGTAGAGACGGAGTTTGCTCATGTTAGGCCAGGAGATGGCCCCGATCTCCCTGACCAATTTTTTTTTTTTTTTTTTTTGAGATGGAGTTTCACTCTTGTCACCCAGCTGGAGTGCAGTGACATGATCTAGGCTCACTGCAACCTCTGCCTCCCAGGTTCAAGTGATTCTCCTGCCTCAGCCTCCCGAGTAGCTGGGATTACAGGTGCCTGCCACCACACCTGACTAATTTTTTGTATTTTTAATAGAGACGAGTTTCATCATGTTGGCCAGGCTGGTCTCAAACTTTTGACCTCAGGCGATCCGCCTGCCTCGGCCTCCCGGCCTCCCAAAGTGTTGGGACTACAGGCATGAGCCACCGCACCTGGCCCACTGAGCTTCTTAGGACTACATACTACCACATATTCACCACATTGGAAACGTCTTCCTACTACTTATTTGTTTAGAGACGAGGTCTCACTCTGTCATCCAGGCTGGAATGCAGTGGTGTGATCACAACTCACTGCAGCCCCCACCTTCCAGGCTTCAGTGATCTTCCTACCTCAGCCTCCTGCCAAAATGCTGCCTTTTGGGAGGCCGAAGTGGGAAAACTGCTTGAGGCCAGGAGTTTGAGACCAGCCTGGGCAACATAGTAAAACCCTGTCTCTATAAAAAAAAATAGAAAAAATTAGCTGGGCGTGGTGATGTGTGCCTGTGGTGCCAGCTACTCAGGAGGCTGCAGTAAGAGGATCACTTGATCCTGGAAGATCAAGCCTACAGTGAGCCATGAGCATGCCATTGCACTCCAGCCTGGACAACAGTAAGACCCTGTCTCAGTAAATAAATCAATAATAAAAGTCTCACAGGACTGCTTGGATTTTTAAAAAATCAGTGGTCACCCCCTGTCCCTCTGCCCACCACATTCCCAATCCCCAGAGATTACTGCTTCCGTCTTACAGCTGCTTTGTACCTTTGGGTGTTCACCTCCACATGTTTAAGTGACACACTTACTCCGCTCTCACTAGTTCTTCTTTTTTTTTGTTTTTGAGATGGAGTCTCATGCTGCCGCCCGGGCTGGAGTCCAGTAGCACAATCTTGGCTCACTGCAACCTCAGCCTCCCGGGTTCAAGCTATTCTCCAGCCTCGGCCTCCTAAGTAGCTGGGATTACAGGCGCTCGCCACCACACCCAGCTAATTTTTTGTAT